TTATTTATACAATCATAAACTATATCTAATCCCTTTATTATTCTATATTCAAGGTGTTTTGTCTATCAATAAATATCTACCCTTTATATTTCAAAACAGTTGCCAAATTGCTTCACCAGTTTCAGATTGTACAGTGAAATTCACACTGTGACTGAATAGTGCATTTGTTAAAGAAATTGGCATACTTGATTAAGCGCTTTTGGAGGGTTGATGATGATGATTCTGAGGTTTTTGTGGAGCACAACTCCAGAGGAGAGTTAAGAGTGGGAAAGAATGGAAGAAGGCTGAGAAAGTTGTCACACATAGACTGTCCCCAAATGGTCTGTGGCGGTGGTCCTCAACCCTAGCTGCACAGGGGAATCACCTGGAAATTTTGAGCAGCACCAGCACCCAGGCCTGGCCCCCACAGGCTTTGGCTTAATTGGTGTGCCATGTGCCCAGCATCGGATTTGCCTCCCACGTGGCAGGGACCATGGAACTGAACAGCCAGCAGGTGCTATATATAATTGCTGATCTATTTCAGATGTTATCAGTTTTCAAAGCAGAGAAGGGGAAAGGAAAAGTGACTTCATCAATAAAAACAAAATTTGGCTCCTCTGGACTTAGAAGTAGACAAGCAATCTTGAGAGGGGTGGGTTCATGCTCCTCTGAGGCTGACTGTCCCCTGAGGGTCTCTCATGATGACTCCAGGCTACACTGAGCCAAGCCAGAATGGAAGGAAAGGGGATGCTGAGTGCCCATAACCCTATGGCCTTGCCCCAAACACAGCCCTGTCCTAACACCCGTGCATAGAACTGAGGGCAGACTGGGGACATTCAAGTCAGATTTTACTATCAGCTAGGCCAGCCGAAGCAAAATAAGATCCCAGCTCCACTTCCTATAAAACCTTAGGTTGGAGGTAGGGGTTACTTAACTTCTTGTAGCTTGATTTCCTTATCTTTCATATGAACATAGTCATCAATATTGTAGGTAGATAATCATGTGGCATTGTGGGAAGTTTAATGAGATAACATTTATAATAAAATGCCTGACGCCTAACAGATGTCAGTGATGAGTAGCTTTTGGTATTGTTAGACTCAAAATATTATCACCTTGAGTCGTCTGCTCCAGATAAGATTAGTTCAGGACCTGCCGACCCTGTTGTGGGTCCGCTTCCCCATGGAGGACACCATAAGCAGAGTAGAATTAGCTCTAGATCATCATCTCCAGTGTAATCACAAGGCCAAGGAAAAACCTTTTCTCCCATCTCCCTCTGCAGCAGCTAAAGAGTCCAGTTTCCAGAAGAAGGACCTTCCAGATCTTGAGACAATTGACACTGGGAATGTCAAACCCTTCACGAATAACCAGCCCCCTGTCCCCTGGGACGGGGCCCACTGTAACACAATGCAACATGCAATATAACACAGTCAACACAGCATAATAATCCCCACAGTCTTGAGAGACACACATGGGAACAGGGATGTTGATTCCTAAAGCAAAGATTCTCGTGCCATCCTCTACAGCAGTGGTGTGCAAATAGATCTATCTCACACTTTCTTTACCATTTATCCATCAATGGCCACTTAGGTTGTTTACATATCTTGGTTATTATAAATAATGCTGTAATAAACATGAAGGTGCAGGTATTTTTTAGTTGGTGTTTTTGTTTTCTTTGGATAAATACCCAGAAGTAAAATTGCTGGATCTTATGGTAGCTCCATTTTTAATTTTTTGAGGCATCTCCATACTGTTTTCCACAGTGGCTGCACCAGTTTGCATTCACACCAACAGTGCATGAGGGTTCCTATTTCTCCACATCCTCATCAACACTTACTATTTCTTGTCTTTCTGATATTGTCATTTTAACAGGTGGGAGGTGATATGTCATGGTTTTGATTTGCATTTCCCTGGATTAATGATGTTGAGCATCTTTTTAAATACCAGTTGGCTATCTGGAGTGTCTTCTTTGGAAAAATGTTCAGATTCTCTGCCCATTTTTTAAATTGGATTTTTTTTCTTTTGCCCTTGAGTTGTATGAGCTCTTTATATATTTGGGATATTAGCCCCTTGTCAGTTACATGATTTATGTATATTTTCTCTCACTCAGCAGGTCGCTTTTTCATTTTGTTGATGATTTCCTTTGTTGTGCAGAATCTTTGTAGTTTGATACGGTCCCACTTATTTACTTTTGCTTTTGCTGTCAGATTAAAAACAACAACAACAACAACAACAAATCACCAAGACTGATGATATCAAGAAGTTTACTGCCTATATTTTCTTCTAGGAGTTTTATAGTGTCACGTCTTACATTCAAGTCTTTAATTCATTTTGAGTTAATTTTTATGTATATAAGATACTGGTCTAGTTTCATCCTTTTGCATGTGGCTGTCCAGTTTTCCCAGCACCATTTATTGACGAGAGCATGCTTTCCTCCTTGCGTATTCTTGGCTATTTTGTCATAAATGAATTGGCCACATATAGTGGCTTTATTTCTGGGCTCTCTATTCTGTTCCATGGATCTATGTGTCTGTTTTTATGCCAGTACCATACTGTTTTAATTGCTTATAGCTTTGGACTCAGCTCGGTTTTTTTTTTTTTAAAGATATTTTTTTAATTTATTCATTTATTTGAGAGAGTGAGAGAGAGAGCACATGAGAGGGGGGAGGGTCAGAGGGAGAAGCAGACTCCCTGCCGAGCAGGGAACCCGATGCGGGACTCGATCCCGGGACTCCAGGATCATGACCTGAGCCGAAGGCAGTCGCTTAACCAACTGAGCCACCCAGGCGCCCCTCAGCTCGGTTTTTATCAAAGTTTTCCGAGGAGGAAATAAAAACTAGTGTCTCATTCTAACTAGAGGACAGTGCCCAATTATTATTGCTATTATTATAGCTATTAAAGTTTATAAGCTGTTTGTAATTACAAAATGGCTCAGGGCTTTGCGGGGCGTGGTTCCCGACCTGGTGCCAGAGGGCGAACGGTTTGTTTCTGGTCCATGCTGAGGTAAGTGCAAAACTCAAGAATTGGTGTCTCAAAAGTTTTAGAGACATTTGACATTGTCATAGGACCAGTGGGATAGCCTGGGGTCAGAGGGCAGGGATCAGACTCGCTTGGTGTGTTGAAGGCGGCTCAAGCTACAGATCAGCTGGTGCCTCAGGATCACACCTCTTCCCACAATGCCCTGGGAAAAAACAAAATTGGTGCTGCCCCACAGATGGCCTAAGCTGGTGGTGGCCTTCTGACCAATCCTAATTTTATAGCTTGAAAACAACAGCTGGGGGAGACTGTGATCAGCTGATGGTGGAGTCTTGATAGGAGTAGAGTTGCAATGACAATTTGATTTTACACCTGATGCCTCAGCCATATCTCATAACAGCCTCCAACCAACCAGGTGCTCAAAAGCCGAGACTAAATGCTGGAGGAAGAGGTGACTCAAGATCCAGCTCAAGTGTAGGGTCTTGGGAGGTCTGGGTGACAACCGTTTCCTTTGCTTACTATGGAAACCTAGTAAGAATCCTCAGAGTGTCTCTGTAGAGGGGAGAAGTGTGACTTCCTATGATTTATAGAACAGCCAGCATCAGACAGGGCCTATACTGAGGAGTGATGAGATCTGCATTTTTGTGTATTTATATTGGATGATCAAGAAAAAAATGTGTTGAGCCAGAAGTGGAGATGGTTTCACTCATGTATTGCTTTGGGGCACCCACCATGTTGTAAGCACTGTTGTTGGTCCTGAGAATACAGACTCCACTCGGTCACATACTTGTCTTCAGGGAGGGTAACTATTATCTGGTGGGAGGGACAGATGACCCAAAAGACTCCTTCCATCATCATATAATATATACTGCTATGTAAAACATACATAATATATAAAATATAATATCTTATATAATTATATATATAATTTTTCAAGTGGTCATAAGAGCGAGGAAGAGAAAGAAAGAGAGCAAAGGGACAGAGGTTCAGAGAGAAGGCCTGTCTGAGGAGGTGACATTTGAGCAGAGACTTGATCACAGAAAGACTTGATGGGCGATGTGATAGATAGATGGTGGCCAAGGGGCAGACATGAGAGTGAGACCTTGCTAGGAAATTGGCAAGAGCTTAGTTAGGGAGGTGACTAACCCCAGCTGGGAGTGTGAAGGGTTAGGCTGGCGCCATGGGGAACTGGGAGGTGAGGTTGTAGGCACAGACAAAAGTAGACAGGAGTGTTCCATATTTGGGAATCCCAGGCTATGTAAGGTGATGGGCAGAGTGAGGTGTGTGAGCCTGGGGGTGCAGTGGGGAGTATTTGAACACATGCTGGAAAAGAAAGCAAGAGAAGCCTTAGGGGCAATGTGAAGTTGTTTGGACTGTATGTAGCGTGAAGAGAACGGGGAATATGGAGGGAATTTTAAGTATATGATATGATATGATCACATTTGCTTTTAGAAAGCTCTCTGTGGGAGCAATAGAAAGAATGGGTGGAAGGCAGGGTGTGGAGGCAAGCGAGGAGACCACAGAAGAAACCCAGATGAGAGTGTGTGGACAGAGAGGAGAGGAGAGGGCAGATAAGACCCAGACAAGCATGGGATCATTAGGGTTTGCTTATTGATGGATTAGACACAGTGGATAAGACCAAGAATTTCTAAGTGTAACAAGAAGTGAATGGTGTTACACAGTCCTGCCAGAAGGCAAACTGGAAGTGAAGCAGGTTCAGCTTGGAAGATGGTGCTTTGGTTTGAATTTGTTAATTTGGGGATGACTACAAGACATCCAGGTGCAGGTCCCAACTGAGTAAGCAGTTGGAGATACATGCTTACCTTCCTTTATTTGGCTTTGCCAATGGGGACAATAACTGAATCACGCTCTAGGGTTGGTGGCAACAGGATGCCTATGGAGATGATTTCCCACTGCTTGCTTCACATCCCTGAAGTGAAGATGTGCCTGTGGCCATAATTTCCTGGGGACATTGTTGGAACAACAGTGAGTCAGTCCCCTCCGCCATGTTTATGGCATGTTATGTTCACACACAACAGCGGGCACTATTTTACTGTTTTAGGTGCTTTATTTCCAGTGACTCATTTTCCCTCAGAACAACCTGTTAGACAAGCACTGCTGATTGTTCTCTAGATGGAGACATGAGAAGGCACAGAGAGGTGAAGACACTTGCCAAGGTCACACAGCGCCTATGTCGCAGAGGCCAGATTCAACCCAGGCAGCTGGGCTGCAGGGCTTAGGCTGGTAACCACCACAACATACTTGTCGGCAAACTGGACACTCTACCAATCCCTGGTGTCCTCTCTGATCTTTACCCTCGAGGCCCTTCACCATTCCCTGAGGGAGGAGCATGGAGGTCCAGCAAAAGGTATATCTTTATGTCCAGAATATTTTTCCTCTTTAGTTCTTTCGTGGCATCTTCAAGAGGATCACACACATGCCCGAGGTCCGCCATTTTGGGCCAAAGTTGTTTACCAGAACACTTGATAACCTAATAATGACAGAAAGAGAGTGCCAGGGGAATAAATAACCAGCCCCGAGTGTGCCATGAAGGCTAAGGAGAGCCAGGATCTATTCTCGTAGGGACAGCTTTGGCTGACAGCAGTGCTTTCCCAGCTCTGGGCTGCAACCCTTCAGTGGGTTGGGAAATCTGTTTCGTCAATTGTAACCAGCATTCCTTCCAAATAATGCAACGGAAGAGAATAGGACGTGTAGGGGGTGTATTACATGTAATATGCGCAAGTTATGTGTGTGGATATATGTTTGGGTCATGACATAAATGTACTTCTTATTGAATGTTTGGAAAATGCTGAGCTAGAGCACTTTTTACTGTGCGGTCCACGGCCAAAACCATACTCACTGTACGACTATAGCCCCCCCTTACCTGTGGTTTCAGTTACCCATGGTCAACTGTGCTCCAGAAGTGGACGAGCCTCCTTCTGACATGTCAGAAGGTCAATAGCCGCCGAATGAATGCTACGTCATTCCCCTCGTGTCATCTCATCACGCAGGCATTTTATCATCTTGAATCATCACAAGAAGGCTGCGTGCAGGACAAATAAGGTATTTTGAGACAGAGATGCCACATTCACACAACTTTTTTTATAGTACATTGTTATGATTGTCCTATTTCATTATTAGTTATTGTTGCTAATCTCTTACTATGCCCAATTTATAAATTAAACTTAATCATAAGTATGTGTGTATAGAAAAAAACATAGTAAATATAGGTGTTGGTATGATCTACGGTTTCAGGTGAGAATGTATCCCCTGTGGAGAAGGGGGGACTGCTGTATCTTCTTCTCTAATGAACTGATACAGGCGTTCGTCTGTGTACTTTAACTCTACACATATGTGCATAGTGCATTGGCACTAAATGTGGTATTCCTGCAGACCTGAAGCTTGGCCCAGAAACCTGCTCTAGCTCATGATTTGGGGAGTTGGTGGCAGGTAGATGGCAAGTTGTCAAAATGGAAGCTTTAGCAGGAGACAAAATCCCCTGGAAAGAGTGTGAATGAGCAAAGAGAAGAGGGTAGAATCTGGGGAACCATTTACCTTTAAGGCAAGGATACTGGAAAAGGAGCTCAGAAGACCTGGACAAAGAGGTGGGAGGGAAACCAGGAGGGTGTTGGCATGGGAGCCAAGAGAGGAGAGAGTCCGAAAAGCAAGGAGAGGTTCAAGATTGTCAAATGTGGCAAGAGGTCAAGTGAGGTAAGACCTGGAAGGCTCACATTGAATTGAGCAACATGGAGTTCCCTGGTGACATTGGTTGGTGCCTTCAGTCCAGTGGTGGCCGCTCTACTGTGGGGGGAACTGAATGGTGACCAGGGAAGACAGACATGGGGCGGGGGGTGGGGATGGGCAGCCCTTCCAAAATGTTTGGCAATGAAATGGGGAGGGCAAGAAGCTGCTGGCCAGACGGGGGATAACGGGTTCCTCCAGAGACAAATTTGGCCCTAGTGTTACAGAAAGACAAAATCTTCACAAGCTAGGCTTATAGGAAGGTGCGGGACATTTAGCCTCTGTTAGAAGGGATGAAGTGAAACTATGGATTCCCACCGCCTACCCCCATCCTCTCTGAACAGACGAGTAAGAATTTCTGGCAATTGTGAAGACAAAATTTTAGAACGGTGACAATGACCGCTGATGTTCTGGTTATTTATATGAGTAATGGCTAAGTTTATTTTGGGATTATGATTCCAAATTGTAATGCACAATGCAATCAAAATCCCAGTTAGGAGGAGGAAAAGAAAAAGAGGATGAAATGGTAGCCAAAAGAAAAATGACATTGATAGGTTATCAACATTAGTGCTATCACTGCATAAGGAATAATGAACTAATGGACTGTATTCTGAAAACAGAAAATGCCGTGGGTAACTGATAGAATCCAATGGGACAGATCAAATTTCTTCTACTTTCATGATGAAAACCAGACTTGAAATTACTTTTGATTTGTCTCTTGGCTTTACCACATGTTTGAGGGAATTTGGATGTAGGCACCTTATCACTGACATTTACTAGTCAAGATAAGAATTTTCTGTTCAGGTTTGTGGGCCATGGGGACTGCCATTATCACAGCCTCCAGGTGGATTACCAGGTGTTGCATAATTATTGCGACATCTAGTCTGTAAGGAGTAAGGAAATTTGCATCTGAGTATAAATATTTGTATTTAATCTTTGTTTCCCTGGGGGGGTGGTGAAGAAAGCTGGGACCCCTGATAAAGGCACCTTATTTAACAAACGGTGGGCATAGAGATAGTTTTCAGAGATGAAGGAACTATATATAATTCCTAAAATAAACTTTCTCCAAACCAGAGAGCAATTTAAGAAAATGCAAAGCTATGAAGAAAGGATATTGGCGAATCTTCCTTAGGTTGCTTTCACAGCAGTGAGTAATTGCCTTAAGGTAAAAGCTCATCTCTTGTGTTCTAGAAAATTCTCAGACCATTCAAGTCACTAAAAACCATTCATTGTTTTTGATTAACCAGCATGTGAAGAATCTTGTCTAAATGGGTTAGAAATGAAAGTGTTTGCCTTGAACAAAAACGTATAGTCTCGAAGATGAGAAATATTGCTGGTTTTGCTCAATTTAGTCATCTATGTAAAGGGTCTCTGGCGTGAGAATAAACCCCTCATTCCCAAATATTTTGAAACATGGAATTAAGTGTGTGTGTGTGTGTGTGTGTATGTATATGTGTCTGGCCTGAGAATAATCCCCTTATTCCCAAATATTTTGAAACATGGAATTAAAGTGTGTGTGTGTCTGTGTGTGTCTGTGTGGTGGGGAGTTCCCTTCAAGTGTACATCATGTCCTGGGTGGAGCAAATGGATTTACAGGAAGAGGAACTTTCATGTTAGTTCAACTCCTAATTGTAAGTCAAGGTGACTCATTTGGGCAACGAAGGTCAAGGTATGTGAGGAAAGAGATGGACTCCTCACTGGCTATTTTTTCATAAGTGAAGATGCTTAAAACCCTAAGTTTCTTCTTGAATGTCTCTTATTACCTGTCATTTTTGAAGTTGTAAGTGAAAGCTGAGTTTTAAGCACAAAGGAAAAAAGGATCCTACACAGTGAAAAAAAAAATTGACACAAGAATTTCTCAGAAAGAACTTAGTGAATTTTTATAAACTCTTTGAAGTTGTTCTTGAATGACTGAATTCATTGTCCAAAGACTCAAAGGAGTTGGAATTGGTTGGAATTTTCCACTCTTTGCCATACTCCTGGATCAGAGGCACAATTTTTCAAAATATTGGTAGAGCCAGGTCCTAGTGCCAGAATGAGGGAGACATTTTATGTAGTTTCTCCTTCATTAACTATAATTTTAGCTGTTTTTGTTTTGACTGAAATTCTCCTGGTTGGTTCTGTTGGTTAAAGCTGGGGCTAGCTAACTTGGACCCGTGCCAGATATCTGGAGACAGGCAAGCTTATTCTGGCATTGATCACCACCTCCTTCCATCCTCTTCCTCCTGGCCAACAGAGGTACTCACCCTCTTGGCTACGTGTTCAGGGTTTAGAACAACCTCTGATGCCCCAGGCAGTTTGAGGGTGGCGGTGATGTGGAAAACAGTCATCAATCTCTAGGGGCCAATCATGGTAGTTCTATGTCCTTTGTCTGTGAAAAGTTGGGTGGGGAACCTACCTTGAGGACAGTTGGCCTCTTCCATGGGGTAGAGAGGTTTCAGCCTTGACCCCCCTCTAATTGTGATGACTCCAGCCATCCCATTTCACACAATCCCCCACTAGATCCTTTACTTTCACTCTTCAGGGCTTGCCCTGATGATGAGCTTCAGGTATGGAACTCCTTGGGAAAATCCCTTCTCAGGCTCTTGGTGAAAACCTCAAAGGGACGGAACAAAGCTGATCATAAATCTGGGTAGAGCAGACCTGCACACTGGTTGATTGCAGAGCTGGAAAAGCCAGGGAGAAAGTTGTTGGTTACTTCTTTTATTTCCCTTTACAGCTGTTGGTCTAAAACCCCACACAGGGATACCTTAGAAAATGTTCAGAAGAAATCAACTTTATCTACTTTCCTTCTGAGAAACTTTTTTGAGTAGCTGCTGGTAAACCTCACCAGCTTTTTCAAGAAGTTCACAAAAGCCACTTAATGTGTTGAAGCATCTTTGTGGTTTCTTTCGGTTGCCTGAACAGAAATGTAATGTTAGGTACAAGAGACGTATAGTAGCGTCTCCCTATAATTTTACACACATCCACATGCAGTTCTCTGTTTATAATTTCCCTCCCCATCTCTTTGCCCTAAACCTTTATAATAAGCTCATTCATTTGTAACTCTACTTGGCTGCCTGATGTTTGTAGAGTAGAATTAGTGCAATTGCTTTCCCCAGTAAAAAGAGGTAGCTTGGCAGTGGTATTGAGAGAGAGGAAAGCTGACTAGCCAGGGAATGCAATACTAGAAATGTAAGCCCAGTAAACAGCACTGACTCCTTTAGAGAAATGTTTGCTGTCTGGGTGTCCCCAGCCTCTTAGCCAAGCGATGGATCAAGCCTGCAGCCCTTTAGATACAAAGATATATGAATGCTCTGCCTGCGAATAAACAGACACTTTGTAAGGAGAGAAAAACTGGTCTGAAGAGAATTTCTCAGGCGCTTTGATTGTCTGATTGCACAAACATCGCCTCGTCAATTTTTCTCACAATCTAAGAGAGGAAGTGGCATGAATAGGAATGTGTTTGGAGCTGGAGGGTGGGGACAGGAGGGAGAGAGACGCTTCCCCGCCATCCGAAGAGGCGGGAGGGCAAAGAAAACCTTCAAGAGGAACCTGCGACGCGGTCCCTCCCGGCGTCCCTCTCCGGGCGGTCCCCTGCCCCCCGGGGCAGCGCCGGGGAGCGGAGGGGGGGCGCCCAGGCCGCTGGAGGCGGCGGGTTTCGTGCGCTTCGGCACTGCTGGGGGCGAAAGGCGCAATCCCGCGGCTCCGGGAGGAGAGGCCACGGTCACCCGCGCGGAGGACCATCTCTGGCACCAGACCCAAGCCGGTCCTCTCCGGTGTCTACGCACAGCGGCCGCGCGTGCCCACGCGCACACATTCCCGCCTCCGCGCGCAACTCCCACGCCCCGGGCCCTGTGCCCGCGAGGCGCCAGACCCGCCTCCCCCGGCAGGACCTAGAGGGTCCTCGGCGGCGTCTTTAAGGCCGCCGTCCCCGCCCCTCCCTCTTCCCGCCCTCCCCCGCCCGTCCTCCTCCGTGTCGCCGAGGCTCCTCCCGACCTCCCCACGAGCCGGGCTGCCGGGCGTGCGCGGCGCGCGGAGCAGGTGCGGCCGAGCCCCTCGCATGCCGCTGCCGGGCCGGAGGTGCTAGCGGCGCCCGGCGCGCTCCGCCCGCCCCTCCTCCGGGCCGCACTTGGGCTCTGGCGCGCGCGGGGACATGTCGGTGGCGACGGGCAGCAGCGAGGCGGCCGGTGGGGCCGGCGGCGGCGGCGCGCGGGTTTTCTTCCAGAGTCCCCGGGGCGGCGCCGGCGGCAGCCCGGGCTCGAGCAGTGGCTCAGGCTCCTCCCGGGAGGACTCGGCGCCCGTGGCCACGGCGGCCGCGGCGGGGCAGGTTCAGCAGCAGCAGCAGCAGCAGCGGCGCCACCAGCAGGGAAAAGTGACAGTGAAATACGATCGCAAGGAGCTTCGGAAGCGGCTGGTGCTGGAGGAGTGGATCGTGGAGCAGCTGGGTCAGCTGTACGGCTGCGAGGTACCTGAGTGCGGGGCCGGGAGGGTCGGGGGCCTCCCTCGCCCCACTGTGCCCACACCGGAATTCTCCAGGGCTCCAGCTCTCGGGTGCGCACCGCCCTGTCTCCTGGGGACCCAGCGCTGGGAGCGAGGCGCAGGGCGTTCTCTCTCCGGGGTGCCCTCTGGCGCCGGGGCGCCACAGTTGGGACGCCCCTGCCTGGGTCCAGATGCCGGGTGCCCGCAGAGCTGCGGGCCCCCTTGTTGGCAGTGGGGAGCGTTGGGTTTTGCTAAGCACCTTGCTTTTCTCGGAGCCCGGGGCGCCTCTAGGCTCCAGCTGCAGCTACCCTCAGAAGGGCTCACCCCAGCTGCGCCTAACCCAACAAGAACAGTACTCACTGCTGAGATCCTGGCAATCCCGATTTCTGTGGAGGGGGAGCAGGGAAGGGACCTGAAAGCTGCTTAACGGAGAGGAGAGGTTCTGGGGATCCCAGAGGACCCCTCGGTTCCTGAAATTCTACATCAAAATCAGGAGATGAACGCTTTCCCTTTTGCAGCGAGCCCCGACGCGCGTCCCCATAATTCATCCTTGCATTTACCCAAGCTTTACACGTTGGGCTTTGTTGAAGCAGCTTTTTTCCCCCGCCCTGGTCGAGCTCGGTTACTCCCGTTGATGGGCGCAGGGTGAGAGCCTTTGGCAACCTGGAAGGGTGCCTGGGTGGAAGGACGGTAGCTCTGCGGGTGGTGTGCGGGATGCCCGGAATCCGCCAGCTTCCCCTCCGCGGCGACCCCTGTGACTTCCCACGGTTCAGGGGCCAAGGTTCATACACAAGTCCGACGGACGCGTAGATGCTTGATGTTAGGAGAAATATTTGGAATAAACTGTAACAAACGTCTGCTAGAAAAATGACTGAAGCCAAAATGATTCCCCATGAGAGTCTTTAATAACAGCGATTCTGAATGAAGTATTGTACTTCTCTTAAGGGCGTGGAGTTTGGGAAGGGTGGGAGAATGGAGGGGATTAATAATTAAGGATTCGGCTTCTAAGTTAAAGCAGGTTTGTGTCCATACAGCTGTTAGCGCTGTTCAGCAAAAATGAAAGCCAGATGAACTCATTGGCTTTTCTCCTGGTTTGGGGTATTCTGTTTTTCACACATTTTATGGCCTATTGTGAACACATCCTTTCCTTAACATTCTCATGGTAGGAGGCAACAGCATCCTCATTAGGGACTACTGATGAATGATTAGAATATAATGAAGCTTGACTATATGACTAATAGGCTTGTAAAAATATATTGTTTCCCCAGCCTGGCTCTTACGAAAAGCCATTTTAATTGCATAAATAAAAACCGGCCAACATAGGAAGTGTTTCTGGGATTTCTTTCTTTCTTTCTTTCTTTTTTTTTTTTTTTTTGTAGGAAGTTGGCAAAACTCTTTCAAGAAACACTGTATTTGATTTAGATGGGATTACTGTTGGGTGGATGAATGTGCTCAGTCTTGCCTCTGTAGCATCCAATTAATTTTCATTTATTTCATACTGACCTTTATACTCCATTTTGGATTTGGAGAAGATTTAATAGAAAAACTACTGTTGAAATTAAGAGTGCTTTAGCAGTGCTCCTTTTATGGGAGGCTAAGTAGGTGTAGTTGGGGAAACTAGAGAGTTCTGGCCCCTCAGCAGGTTGGCAAATCAAAAAATTTAAACATTCTTCAGAATGATTGGGGAAAAATGGTGGATTGGATGTTCACTGTATTGAACATGTAGGTTAGATACATATTTTAAAGGGTAAACATCACCTTGAATCTTTTCCTGGTACATCTCTTCTCCTATTTTAGACCTTCTGGCATACAGCAAACTGGAGATTTGAGAGAGGGCTTTATGCTGCCAGCATGTCATTACAATGTGGCAAGTGTTTCTCTTTAAGTTGTTTGCTCTGTCATTTTAGGTTTAAGGAATATTGGTCATTGAGAAGGTTGTTGGCAGTTTGTAATTACCAAGCTGATGACCATCTTCCTTTAATGACAAAAAGCATGTGGACTCATAAATAGGCATATAAAGAATTGTTGCCTTCCATCTATTTCTCCACCGGTGGGGCTCTATTTTTAGCTTAGCTTCTCTGGTCTGTAGCCTTTCCTTGCTGATGTCTTCAAGTATGTCAGCCCCTGCTTTCTTAACCGAGAAGGACTAATTGCTCTGAATCTCATGAATATAGAGGGTGGGGAATGTTCCTTTTACACTTAAAATTGGTAATGTTGTCAAATTTTTACTGCATGCAATTGACACAGAAAGCGAATTTGCCAGACTTCAAACTGGCCGGGGGGCTGAGCTTTCTGCCAAATTGGGGGAGATGATGAACACATATTTAATTTCAGAAGAACTTATATCAGGCCAGTCAGCAGTTGGATGACTTGTCCTTTTCGGAATAGAAAATAGTGATCTTTTGGAGAGGCATAGAGCATGATATTTAAAATTAGGAGTGGGAAAGAAGAAATACACAGAATAACTTCCTGGCTGTGGTCTTGTCTTGAAGTTTGCAGTGGCCAGTCAATTTTGTATGGAGAATAACCTGAAGACAGCATCTGTGGAGTGCTTATTAGGTGCTGTTCTCGGCACTTTATATGGACTAATTGATTTAGTCTTTACAACAGCCCTATGAAGAGGGTGCTGTTGTCTGTTTTACAGATGAAGAAACTGAGACCCAGAGTAAGAGGCTTTCCCAAGCTCGAAGAGCTGGTGAAGGGCAGGGCATGGGGATGGGAGTATGAACCGCGGCCGTGTGGCTCTGAGCCCACATGCTAATCACCGGGCCCTGCCTCTTAAGTTTGCAGGGGCCCATGCAAGAGAACAGATGGAGGCCCTCAGAGCATAGATCTGAATATTTAAAAATAATGCATTTGTAATGAGCATGATATAAAATTTATTCTGTCTACCTCCCTTGACAATGATATCTCCATAGTGGCGTGGAAGGCTAGGTTTGAATTTTGAATTCTCAGACTTCCCAGAGCTCACAGCTGGAATGCAGCTGGAGAATCCCCTGGCCTCGCGCCTGCTTTCTTTTCTTCCCACCCACAGTACAGTCTCACCTGGTGAAGAGCTTTGTGTCTGCTCGCATACCCAATCTCTGTCTACTCTGTCTACCCTTCATCATACCTTTGGCTCAGACCAGTGGCAAAGGCCCCCTTGGGAGGACAGATCCGGGAGGAGCCTGTTCATGCACTGGAAATGGCTTGGTATTGGATCAGGAAACTCTGGGGATCTGCAGCAGAGCCTAAAACCAGACAGAGGGACAGCGGTTCCAGGTAGGTGGGTCCAGTTGGTCCTAGGAGCTCTGCAGGAAGATGGGTGTGGGAGGATTAGGGCCCAGGACCATGGCCCTTCTTACCCAGTCTAAGGGCAGTATTGCTGCACGCCACATCAAACAGCCTTTTGGATATAGAGATAAGTGTTTTTTATAAATTCTAAAATGCTTAGTTATAGTTATTTTCCATTTCATCTTCTTGTACAGATAGTTAAATTTTCAGCTAAGGATTTGGTTATAATGGAACTGTTAGGATGGATCTGTATCCTCATTTAAGAATTTCTGTTTTGAGACATTTTCATATCTCATCCAGACCCAGACAGTTTTTAAGAGCGTTTGAAATCTGGCATCGAGTCTCCTTTGACAAGTATTGCAAGATGGCTTACTGGATAAGTCATATCATTTTTTCTCATCTTGCCTAGTATCAAGATAACATCTGTACTTCCAGTTTTGCAGTTTGATTTGTTTTGATGGTGACACTAGGGAGAAATACCCTTTAGATTGCTGCCTGACACACGGACACATGGATGTATGAAAGACACATGGATTCACAAAGCACCACTTAATATTACCATGTATGCTAGAGAAAAAAATGACAAGGGTAGTGTAAAATATGACTTTATTAATGTTTAAATACAATGTTCTATTTCCTTTTCCAGAATTGCTGGTTGTGACCCTCTAAATTGATTTCAGGGGGCCCTGGGTGGCTCAGTCAGTTAAGTGTCCGACTCTTGATTTTGGCTCAGGTCATGATCTCAGGGTTGTGAGAGTGAGCCCCACATCTGGCCCAGTGCAGACAGGGCGTGGAGCCTGCTTAAGATTCTCTCTCTTTGTTTAATTAATTAATTAATTAAAAAATATATAGATTCCATAACATTTTTGGACAGTGGCATGCAGTTTTAAAAATACTCCTCCAGCAGCACCTCAGTGGCTCAGTCAGTTAAGCATTTGACTCTTGATTTCAGTTCAGGTCATGATCTCAGGGTTGCGAGATCAAGCCCCGAGTTGGGCTCCACGCTCAGCGGGGAGTCTGTTTGAGATTCTCTCTCTCCCTCTGCCCTTCCCCCCTCTCTGTCTCTCTAGAATAAATAAATAAATCTTAAAAAATACTCCTCCAGAAAGGGAAAAGCCTAAACATATGTGATAGAATTACCTGGTGTTTATTAAATGATCTCTGTGCATCAGGTATGATTCGTGTAGTCCTAGTAACAATTTCTGATATTCTCAATTTGTCAGTATAGAAAGTGAGTCATGGAGATGCCAGAAAGTTGCCCCAGGGCCCACAGCTGAAATGTGGCAGCGCAGGGCCATGTCCAGGAATTGTGATGCAGCCCCTTGCACCGACTGCTTCTCGAGGCAGGACAGCTCCAGGCACCTTCCGTGAACTTGTGTGTGTTGTGTACTCCCCAGAAGTGGCTGTTGGAGCCTCTGAGTTGGCTGATCATGCCTGTAGGGGGAAATACCACCACCGGGAAGCTGTTCTTATACCTGGATCAAGCTTCTAGCTTTAAGTTCAGGTCCTTGTTTTGTATATAGATTCCCACTCTAACAACATCACATTTCCCTGTTTTGCTGCTTTCTTAGTACCTGAACCAGAAGGTAGAAGCTATTGCTTAGAACTTGGTTTGTGGGTCATTTGGTGAATCTCCATGTGTTTGGGTATTGGAGAATGAATAGGCTTTTTAAAAGAACTGCTTTTTTTTTTTTTTAAACCTCCATAAACTCA